TGCTTTCTCCGTTCGTTTTTAAATTAGCCTTCTTGTTACCCCTTTAAGCATAGCCTACCTCAATCGAAATATGGCCGAAGATGGCCTTCGCAGTCCCCCTAACTCACAAAAATCCGAAAACCTCGGTTAGCAAGTCATCTGATAGGGGAAATCAGGTGCCTGGAATGCATTATCTCTTACGCTGGAGACTGTCCCATTAGGGCAGCTGAAGACGGAAGTCATCCACTAGATTAGGCCTAAACTGCTGTCCCGTGGTACGTCTTGAACGGAGACAGAAGCTACGTCAGTCTTTGCACCCACTCGTACAGGCATTAGTGCGTGACAGGAGGCAAGGAGGACTGAGCCAAATACGCAAGGCGGGAGGGAGGAGAGATACGACACATTGGCACTGTCCTCATCATCTGACACATCGTAGCCGGTGAGGGCAGGTTAAATATCGTGGTCTGGATGACTGGTAGCTGTCAGGATTACTATGTCTTCATGTGGAAGGAGGATCAGACTGGAATGTTTACCTCTTAGTGTAGCCTTAATGGTAGTCTTATTTGTGTGAGATCCGAGACACGTTCGTGAAAGAAACCTGGTACCTGCGAAGTGAGGGATCAGGCCGCGTGGGACGCGCTTCAACGAGTTGTTAAGTTTTGTCAGTCATTGCTTTACACATCCTCTTATGGTCGTCTTGACTTCGTCTTGCCATTGAAAGGTGCTGTATGTGGGAGGAAAGAGTGAGGTAGGTGCTTCGAAAGTCAACTGCACCATAAATAAATTCGCGTTCACATCGGAGGACAATGGTAGGTCTGTCGTTCGCGACGCTCGGACTGTAGTGTGCTCGCCGGAACGTCTTGATCAATTCTCAATGACCAAAATGCCTGTATTTCATCGACGGTCTAGCCAAAGTTGTGGTTCGATTGGGCCTTGCTGATAGGGACTTGTAAAATATAAATAGCAATCTCAGTCTCTTCCGTTTCCGTCTACAGTGACCATTCATTTGTTAATCGATTTTTGCTGGGGGACTCCTCAGCAAGTTTCGAAAAGGTTGTCCCTCCTTCTCGCTGTTTTTGACGTCTACCCTCTTCACTAAGAAGAAACGCCTCGTCCAAATATGCATGCTGTAGATTTCAGGCACTGTCTACGAAGTTATAATCTTTGCTGTATTATTCACAACTACCTACCATGTGCAGCTCGGAAGTGCCAGTCTTAATTGAAATCGGTTTGGGTCTTTTGACCATTGTTCGGCCTTTGGACTACTCTTTCGTACAACGTCTGACCCTGAGAAGAAATGAATGTCGGAGGAAGTTCGAAAGTCTCAGACTTGCACTTCAGCATGGGAAGTTAAAGAGGAGGTTGTGACTCCTTCGCACACGGACCCCTCAGTTATAAACATGTTGACGCAGTCGTCAGTCCCCGGGTAGCAATTTCCAATGTAAAACTAAAAGCAAAAGAGACAATTAGCAATCTGCAGTTTCAAAACTCGCGTATCTACCAGAAAGCACGCAAGTAGTGCAGGGTAACACAGTGATGAGCTGCAACTCTCACAGCTGTGTCATACAACGGCAGAATATCGGCGAAGCGCGTGCCTGGGCTTTTAGCTAGTACTTGTGTCGTTAGTTTGGTATAACGTGTAACCTATGCATATACTACGGGTTGCCTATTTTCAGTTTATGAATATTACGCGGTTACTCCGCGGATGGACATAGGCCCAAATATCCATATAAAATTTCAGTCTGAGCCTATAAGTCTCAAACAGACTGATTTACCCCGAGTTAGTGATTAGTTTCTGACGAAATTAACAACCTGCAAAAGTAAGAGAACCAGCACATACCAGAAAACAATGGAAGAAAACAGTAACAAGCACCACCAGGTTCTTGGTCAAAACCATGGCCAGACTGAAGAGCAACCAAACCCGGACCAAGTACAGAATGGTCAGGTAGTCCAAAGTGAGCAAGTTAATGCTCCAAAACATCATCAAGGCGAAAGGTTTGGCCAACTGCTTACCATGGGTAAAATGTCCCTGCTTACTAATGGTCAGGCTGGAACAAATCAAAATAATTTCGAGCATTGAGGTCCACCGAGTAACTGGATCAGACATTTCAGCCTCACATCCTCTCCTAGATCCAGCAGAACTTACAGGACCTGCCCCACAGATATAACTGTCCACCGGTGACTTCCCCACCATGTGAATTGCAGCCCTCTGGACTATTCGGTTTGGGCTTATGCGTCTACACGTCTTTGAAGTCCCAGTATCTGAATTGGGAGGCTTTTTACGCCTCCGCATCCAAGGCGGGAAACCATATGCCGGTGGCCCAAATAACGCTAATGTGGCCCAAGGCGCCGTTCAATAGTGAGGGTTTATGGGGGGCTGCCGTTGGTTACATCAATTAATGTACTTCAAACACAAGTGTTTTGAATTTCCATCAATGAAAATACGTTCTAATACGTTCAGTTTATATCTATTCCAAATATCGCATGTCACAAATTTTTCGGGCATTAGCTTTGGTCCGGGAGTTCGTTTAAAGGCCAAGCATACACGACCACGGACACAAAGGAACGAAATACGCCTCTAGAAACACATGCGCACAAAAGTTTTAATGGTTTCCAATTAGTTTTCGAGCTTATTAGAATGCTCAAATCCCCGCTAAATAAACAGAGTACAACCTATATGTCACATTTGGGCAGGGCGTTCATACGTTCCTGGTGGAGGTGTTCTGCAGAACGAAGATTGCGAAGTGAACATAAACAGTAACATGGCGCAGCATTAGAACGGCGAGGGTTTGGTAGACTGATCCCACGTCATGACCCGCGAGTCGTCTTATACCAGACCAAAATGTCCCGTCAGAATGTCCTTCGATACCATCGAAACCCGCAGATAGGAAAGGCAAGAGGGTGAGAAGGGTCCTGCTGTTGACTCATTACACGCCTTATGGCGCAAACGAGAGTGGTTGTTTTTTTTCAGTCTAAAGAGTTTTGCTTTGATTGGTCACTGGAATGTGGACCCTCTGTATCACAGGTGGCCTCGCCCTAAATTTCAGGGGGAGTTAGTGTTAGGGTTTCAGTTTCAGTTTATTTAAGGGAAACATAGGCGTTGAACCTCTGAACTCCCTATTTGTTATAAGGAAGTTAATTATATCAAAAATACGAAAATGGAAGTATCAAACAGCTACAGGAGTTTGTTTTCAGATTGGCGAACTTTTCGAAACCAGACAGATAAACGAATTGTTGCATGTGTTAAAAATATTAACCTTACTAAATCTGCTGTATAGTAGTCTGTCAATGGATAATTGGGGCTAAGAGGGTTATTATTAGGACTGGGGTTAGATTTACGATAGTTAGTGTCAGGGTTAGGGTGGGAACTAAAATTAGGGCACGGGAATAGGAAACCCCTGGCATTTATCGTGAGGTCACCTGTAGTGTTGGGGGGCGTCCAGATTCCCGGGTCCGATCACCCGCTTGAACACAACTCAATTGCTGATAGAAGCGAACACAACTCAATAATAACAGTTGGAATATGCATTGCAGAGATTATTACTACGAACAGTTGTATACAAAGAGGTCTAATAAGACGGTCATCTGTAACCCATTATTCTCGGAACGCCAGCCATTTCTTGTGTCTGTTGCTGTCTCTGGTGTTGGAGCCGAGCACGACTCTGATTTTTTATGGGACCGACGTGCCTGACCCTGAGGCACCTGCTCCAACCCGCCCCTTCCCCCCCCCCGCCCCCCAAATGTAGCCGACTACGTGTAATAGAGCGAAGTGAGTTCAATGTAAAGGATGTGTTACCGATGTCCGGTATTAGCAAATTGGCTTTACATTATGTTCTTCAAGCAGGAGTGAGAACTGGTACTACGCTACAAAACTATGACGGTTCAGGCTGCCCGTAAAACTTCTCTGATTCTCCCGCTTTATTTGAACACGTCATGCATGTCACTTCTGATCAGCGTAGCTCATGGCTGGGATTCATCCTTAGATAAACCAGATAACGAGTCTGTTTGAGCATTTCTACTCCGCTGGTCTTATCGGAATGACCGTCTGTAATGGTACTTCAGGACAAAGCAGGACAGTCGTAGTCATTCCTGCACTCAGGCAAGGTCGGTGTACACCACCTTCACGTAATTTTAGAAATTGCCTGAAACAACTGGTAGAGCATCATGTGAGCTGGCCAGCAGAACGTCACTTCTTTCCTGACTGAGTTCCTATGTGCTTACCCACCTATGGCAAACAAGCCATATCAGACTGAAACCTACCAGTCCTGCGATTTGGCAATCCAAATTTACGGATTGCAATGCGCAATACATGACCTCTGCTGCAGTTAAAAGGTCTCTGACGATGACTGATAAGTACGTCCTACAGCGTATGCAGGGTTCCAATTGATTCGTCCCAAATGTGGCCTGTATGGTACCTTTCATCTAGATGAGATCAGGAACCTCTAGACTCAGTCTAATGCAGATACAGTAGGAAGCGGGTCTTGCGACAGGCATGGGCGCGACGTTTAGCTTTCCCGGTCTCTGTGCTACTGCCCACCTCTCGTTCTCGGGACATGGTAGAATGGTAGAAAAGAATGAGATAGACATAGCACAAGTCGGCTTCACTATTTACAATTTCATCCTCGTGTCACGCCTGCGTCCACCTCATGGGGCAGGGGCAGACGGGGTCGTCTTCCACCGTCGAAATTACACTTATCTCGAGGAAGCTGTATGACATCTACTCGGGTCGGAGCTAATCGCATCGGACTGAAACGGTACTTTGTAGCCCTAACTAAATCCCAAGTTTATAAATTCAAACAAGGCGGCAAAACACAGAAGTCAGACAGAAGGCCTTTATTTCACGTCATGCGTGCATTTAATTCCCTCAGTCTGACACATCGGGCTGTATTGCCGCGATGCAGGACATGGGATTCCTCAGTATAACTGAAACTTCCCATTTCATTTCTTTTGTTACCTTTTTGACTATTCTTCTTCTCTCTCTCAAACATCCTACCATGCCTTTTTTCCATGCCAGTCACCCCTCACAGCCCTTCAGCACTGGTGTGATTCTTCAGGCGACCCTCTGGATTTTCCTTCCGGAAAGGTGCATCTGAGAGATCATTGATAAATTCAGCATTTTGCGTCTTAACGACCAGCGGAGTCTGCTCGATTGGTTTGCCGGCACACAGGGTGCAGATACCTTTGAATACCGGGCTTGATATGAAGAGGAGTATACGAAGTCCTGCCAGCGTCAAGTTTATGATGGAGTAGGTGAAGGCATTGGAGCAATCATCTTCCCAACTGCTATCGGTTATGGCTTTTACGATTCCTAGTACGGCTGCAGCTATGCCGATAATGTATAATATACCCAACAGAAAAGCTGATGCAGCTTGAAGCCCGTCATAAAACCTTGTGCCGGCTATATTGCCTCGAAAGCCACCTCCTTCTGCGTACTCGTAGGGAACCTCTCCGTATGTGGGAGCCTGCATAACGAGTCGCGGAATCTGAGATTTGGGAGTCTTCCCCGGCGACTCCATATAAAACGCGGTTGGTGATGAGTCATTCTGTCGTGGAGGCTTGACGTAGATGAGAGCAACCTCCATGCCAGTGTTGGTCTCGTGTACGGTTGAACGGTAGAGTTTTGGCACCATCATTGGGGACGTTTCTTGCAGTAACCAGGCTCTAACCCATTCCACGACAATTATAAGTATTGCAAGACCAGCCACGGTCTTGCAGAGAGTCTCTCTCACTCCGCACTTACCGGTGGAGACAATAAATATAAGTTCCAAAAGGATGAGAATCACTGCAAGGGTGGTAAATGTAATGCAGCTACACTTAACAGCAGCCATTCGTGCCCCAGGGTTGGACGGCGTCTTTGGTTCCATTCCGTAGGTCCCCGGGCCGGGTATATCAGGCAGACCATAGTCGACGTTGTCGGGGACATTCATAGCCAGCAACCTGTCATACGCACGATGTGTCAAGTCTTCTCCTTCATCCCTTACTGGTATCATCTTTGTGGGTGCTATCACGGACACGGACCTTGAGTACATAGAGTTGCTTCCTATCGTAAAGCTTCTGTTGTTACCACTGATGATCAGAGCCGGGTGCAAAGCGGGCTTGGGAGGGTCCGAAACTTGATCTTGTGATCCTGTGGCCGTTGTCTCGGTCTCAGAGGATTGGGACGTCTCCTTGACGCTATTCGAGGAGGGATCAGTCGACACTGATTTTTCGCTGAACTCGTTGGGTGTTGTGAGCATAGCGTTGTGAGGTATCTCCTTAGAGCTCTTCGATGAAATTTCGCTCGACTCCGACTTTTCGCTGACCTCAGGCATTGATGCTTGCTTAGAGCCACCACTGGGGGTTGAAGAATTCGCCTTATCATTGTTCATCGGCGTACTGGTGGTGGTGCTGGGACTGGAGTTCTCCTCCTGGACCGGTTTAAAAAACTGCATGAAATCTTCATCCGTGCGTTGGGTCGCCTTATCAGGCGTTGATTCATCATCCGACATGGTGAGAATCCTTCGTTAAAGCGTCGTTATGGTACTGTGGGACCTGACGTTGAGGGGGCCGAGGGCACCATGGCACGCTTCGATGTCTCGTTTCAAAATTGTCCTATCGAGTTTTCCACCTGCCGTCCACGTGACATGACATGCGCACCAGGGATGCGTGTTAGGGTGTCATGAGAGGAAGCAGGTCTATAAAAGGCACGCCCTATCGACTTCCCATATGCTTATCACGGAGATTTGGCCACATGCTGACAATTTTGATTAGTTCGCTTAGCGTCAAATTGTTTCCTTGAAAACAGCCCGTTCGTTATATTTTTCCGGTAGTAAATTCGTTTACTGTCTTTTCGGCATTTATTTTCCCTCAAACCTGAATGATAATTCAACCACCATTGCGGGGTTGATAACTGGACTTGTTAGCTGGTGCAGTGCGGAGGGGATCTTTAACCAAATGACTGACCGGCAGAAAAAAAATAACATACTCAAAAGGAGCACGATTATTTTGACAACTCGCATAGAGGAGTGTGGCAGCCCGTTTCTACCGGTCGACCGGATGGAAAAAGATCCCGTCCGCACACTGCCGGCCAACAGCTGTCGTTTTCACCGATCTATCCTGACTACAGGACAGGAGTGAACATCCCATATTTGCCTTAAAGCTGCGGCGGTAGGACTCCCGTAGGCAGTCACGAGGTTATGCTTGTGTTTTGGGGTATGGACCGTTCTAGTCTCCCTTGAAACTCTTAGTTACAGTTCTTGAAAAGTATGTGGTTACCTTCTGATTGTTTACTCGGTGGTTGAGAGGTCACACCAACCTACGTTTCAACTTCCGTAGGGGAAGAATAAAGCTGAAAGCGACTATAGTAAAAAGGAATCCACCTTTGACAAGGGTAGAATATATTGATGTCCGTTAGGACGAAAATGGTAATTGCACTGGTGAGTCAGGATTTAGGTTCCTTCCGTTTCTATACGTACCTTTGGTATCTTCTGTGCGCAATCAGTGCCCATATGCAGGGGACAGATACAAGGTTCAGATTAAGTCTTACACACTTTTAGACGTATCATGTCGAACTCCAAGCGCCTACGGGCCTCAAGACCTTGCTAACCCTACAGCACACGGTTGTGTGTAAAGCCCCGTTCATTAAATATGGATTTTTCTTGTTTTCGACCAAAATTCGATGCAGACTGTATGTTTAAATCCGAGTCTTCTAAACGATTATTGGCATGCCTAAGGCAGGTTAGGCTTAACAGTTTCTAAGACTGCACCTAAAATAGGGATGGAATAAATGATTTGAGGAATGGACATTTCGGAATTTTTAAGCTTTCAGTAAGCCATAAATTTTCATTTGGATAGGGTTTGCATCAAGTTGTGCGTTCCACAGAAAACGTTCGGCACATACCTTAGGTACTTCGTTCATTATGATTTTTCCCAGGTCCCGGCACAAAGAGGAAGCTTAGTGCCTTTCCTCATGTCGACTGAGTACGGATCTACAGGTGATTTGTTGACTGGTAATGGTTGATTCTCCTCACAAGATGGCCTCTTTTGCATTGCCAGCCTTTGTGCCAGACAATTAAATAGGTACCCTCGCACCCGATTTGGAGTATGTAGAGACGAAGAGGAGACGAGCGCTTGAACAGTCCCTGCGTCTGCCTGGGCCTTCAAAATCACTCGGGCGTCCACTGTCGGACAAAACTAAGGAACAGCAATGGTTGTGCGTTGTCTGGCCGTGCGTGCGCTGCGTGTCACTTGCGGGGAGAAATCGATACGCCGCGTTAAGAAGTTGTCGACAGAGATACTGCCTGCCTCCAGCAGCTTTATCCTAGACTCTCCGTTTTTTGCGTCCGACGCTTCAACATATGTGGTTGTTCGCGGTTTCGGTGGCAGACTCCAAAAACTGCTCCTGAATTCCCGAACACTGAAATATTCGCTGGCGACGCAAAGGGGTGGTACATTATGTCAAGTCACTGTCCGCCAATTGGAGGCAAGCCGTGCATTTGACCGCGCGACACAAAAATTATGGCGCACGGCGATAACACGGCAAGCAAGGCGCAGGTTGGGGCCTGGATCTCCGGTGTCAGGCCCATAAACTGATATGTTTTGTTTGCCAGTTGACTACCGATTTTCCACTCCCACATCATTGTCCTTAATATTGGATTCCCAGATGGATGTGAAGACAGGCGAAGACCGGCGGATCGCGCAGTTGGCTTCCATTCTGTTAAATCTAGTCTTCGGCCTACCACATCTATCCTGTGCTTCAAGACACGTTTATTTATCAATTATTTCAGCACCGCCCTCATCTTCTGAACTGCCCGCTTTTCTTTCGCACATTCACCCATTGCATGCGTCCACGCAGTCACATGCACTTCCACAAAAATCTGTGGTAAATCATCGCAGACGTGACCACACCACTACACATTGCCCCATCAACACATGCATAACACATGAACATCCACGTCACACAACTCAAGAACCTCTTACGTATGAAGTGTGTTCTTCGGCTCCCTCTCCACGTTGCTCCTCTGGAGCATGTCAGATTTTAACAATCTACCTCTTTACGTGTGAAGGTCTGGTGTGTGTACACGGGAACCACATCGTGTATATGGAACGCACAGACTGGCAGTTTTAGCGCTCGCAGTCACTTTCCCTTATAACAGCATCATTTGATTGACCGGACCTAACAGTCCAGTGATGCACAGAATAGGGTATGATGAGTGAATTTGACTCTTAGTGCATAATTGCTAACCATAAACAATGTAACGTGCTTAAATCAATCACAGTACGCTAAAAGCCGTGGCTTGAAAGACTGCCAACTGAAGGAATAACCTAGATATCCTCTCAGAAAAGGGGAGTCAGGCTGCAATGTCTCCTAAATGTGGTGTTCGCTACACTCCCACTCAGTTGGGATGCGAACCGCCCATACTTTCGTTGTGGCATAAAATCCTGGTCAGTGTCTGATGTGGACCAGGGAGTATGGTGGCACGCCTAGGTGCGGTTATCCGTCTCGCCAGCCACCTGCGCCCTCTTCCGTCTCCGGTCTTCTTGACTCTGTCTTGACAGCGAATACAGGTGAGGGGGGAGGAGAGAATGCGGTTGATGCAGCGAAAGCCCTCTATCAGTACAAACAATTTCACGCACAAGCCATCGTCCCCGCTCTCACCCCGCTGTGGTGTACACGGTGGACATCGTCAGACGCGATGATCGAGCCGTTATTTAGCAGTTCTCTCAGCAGGTAGATCTGTGAGCGCGCCTGCCTGCTGAGAGTGAGGCCGCGCAATCTGGCGGTGAACTCTCAGCACGCTATAACTGGGGAGGAAGCTTACAGGAATACAATGAATTCTCTGTCGATCGGCTCCTTTTGTCCTTTGCAACAGGACTCGCATCCTTGTCTCCTTTTGGGATGTGGATTTTGCTGTGGACTGTTTTTCTTAAAAAAAACACTTGGCTCTAGGATATCATTTCCAGTAGATATTCGGTCAACGAAAAAGCTGTTTTCAGCACAGTAACGTTTGCATCGGGCAGCAGTCACGTCCTACAGAGGTATCTTACCTACGTGGAGGAACGTTGCTGCGTACGAGCAGTAAGGGGACAGTTGGCGAGGAAAAGACGGTCAGGAGAGAACTATTTGTTGCCATAACTCAGAACTGTCTACATCAGGAAGACCTTAGCAAACGAGCACAAGCAGTGGGGTTTAAGAAGGAATAGAAGCCATGCAGAAGGACGTTACCCCATCTGACATAGCATACTTAAGGAAAGCGCAAAATAAACCTCCCTTCCGCCGCCGGTATGTTTATTAGTTTGCGTAATAAGGCGTCCGTGCTCTATTGCCCGTGCTTAATGATAGTTTTTCATGGAAAGAAGAAAGGTCGCCTGGGTACGCCTTTAAGCTATCGTCCATGGTAAATCTGTAAATTACTATCTTCTGCAAATCCAATTACTG